ACGTGTGGTTTCCAATTGAATAATAAGAGTTTATACTATACTTGTTTGAAATACCATTAATGGATCATCTAACCTTGACATTTGTTGTTATCATTATTTAACTCTTACATTGATCTTTCATCTCAAAGTTCTCATCAATTTCTTTTTCTTTTTCTTTTTCTTCTTCATTATTATTATTATTGTTACTACTACTACTACTACTATTAGTATTGTTGTTGTTATTGTTACTATTATTGTTGTTTATAATTTATACAATTAACCTCCTTGTGGTTCGATCCCTATCTTGCCGGGTTATATATTACTTCGACACTCCTACACTTGGGCAAAGACATCAATCTTTTGGTCGTGTCAGTATTCATGATTATAACTTATGTTAACAACAAATCAAGTTCTTTTCATAGCACAGGTGTAGGTTTTACCATACGATTGGGTTATGAAAGTGTCAAGTATTTGTTGTACCAAGTGTTCTACAATATAAATCTAGATTAACGATTTAACAAGCAAAGTATTAAAAGTGAACAAGATAACAAATACAAAACATGTTAGTATCAAACATTAAAATCCATATCCATGTTAAGTTTACACTATACTTATTCTTACACTATTAGTGTAACCTTTTCACCTTGACATAATAAACTTAGTAAATATAATAAAGAAGAGAAATATAAATAAACAAGATAAAAACATAAATAAGATAAAAGTTAACTAAGTAAAGGAAAGGAAATGAAAGGCATAATTAAGATATTAATGAAAGCAAAACTTAAGCATTACCAAAATACAAAAAGAAAAAGCAAGAGCATGATCTTGATCTTGATCTGGAAACCAAGATGCATACATATATGACAAATGCCTCCTTTTATAGGCCAAAATTGAGAACTATTAATTTAATGACTAATTAATGAGTGGGTGACCAACTCTTGACTTGGTGATAATCCTTATCTTCTGTTGTCTAAATAAAATATCATTGATAACCTCAGAAAATAAAGTAGATCTTCACATCAAAGTTCTAAAAAATTATCTCATCTTTTCATGAAAAAAATTGAGGTCATTTGGACTTCTAGAACTCAAGATATGGGCCAAACACTGAACAGTGTCTGGGCTGCAAGACAGATTCGGACTTATTCGCTGTTGCTATAATTTAGACTTGAAAACAGTCTTTTTAAATCTTAGACTCCCATGAAAGTTGTAGGATTATGTCTCACATTTTCATCCATATAAAGTAAACTTAAATCCGAGATCTACAGCTTCAAATATGACCCAATTACTAAATAGTTTTTCTGTTTGGACTGCACCAACATCTATTTTCCAAGTTTAGCCATTTCTTTGTCCTTTCAATTTCAATACTTCAACTCATTAATCAATCCTTTTATTTATATG